TATATATATATATACATGAATACATATATTTATGTATACCTTCTGTGTATATACAGCTGGGTATCGATAGACAAGGATGAAACGAGGGAGGAAGATAGAAAGGCTAGCATGAAGATATAATGCCCCGATCTCAAAGATGTCGTTGGCGTTGGGGGGCTTTTCCATTCGCAAGTCTCCAATATGTGGAGAAGAAAAAGCAATGCACGCTTCCGCATAAGTCCCAGAACGACGACTCGAGCCACTTAGCAGCATTTCATCTTATCACATGAGATTGCCTGTCGCTCGGGGCGACCCTGCCACATTCGAGCAGTCGGCAGTCGACAATATATGGGACTCGCGCGTGCTCGCGAGGTGTGAATTTGGTCGATAGCAGCATTCTCGTGAACACCCTCTTAAGATCTCAAGCATTCCCAGTGTGTTACAGACTTAAACGGAGATCTCCAAAAATCTGGAAAAGTTACATGGCTCTTTGTGTCACGAATCGAACTCCATGCTTTGGCAAAGCGAGAATGAAGCCCTGAAGCTTTCCTGCGCCATCAGTCCAGTAGTTGTTTCGACGGCATCGGTCTAGAACGGCCGCAGCTTAACGGACGAATGAATGTCAGTTGTCAATTCATGTCAATTCCGTCCGTAATGGCGCGTGTTGGGTTTCCCCTCCGAGTTACTTCACCGTAACCAAACAAAGCCGGGAAAGAAACCTGGAGCTCTGGCAATGGCGAGGCCTGAAGCTTTATTCGACAAACCCAGGGTTAGCCTCTGGCCTCTGCCTGCTGTTTGTTTGAACTGAGGCTTTCATCTTACAAACGAGTGGTGTCAAAGCTGTTTGATGCAATCCGCAGTTGAAACCAACCCCTAGATCCCTGGCATGCTAAACAGGATGAGCAGGAACACGATGGTACGGGCAATGCTTGGCCGCTCACGAAGTGCCCACACCCAAAACTGACCAGAAGAGATCGCAAGCTTGAAGTCATCGCAGACATCACACATCGCAGCGCATGCATGCAGATGATGCCTTGACTCGCCAAGGTGTGATGCGAACACTGTGTGAGAGCTTTTCTGCCTCTAGGCATCAGCACCCCCAGCCCCCACCCCCCACTTGCAGCCTTGGTTAATCTGCGTTGCGTGCAGTTTATCAGGGACGACAGCGCCGACAACGAATTCCCGACCTGCATGATACGGTATAGCTCAGTATAGCTCCTCACACGAATGGAAGTATCGAGTTCAGAATGTTTGAAACCAAGATCTATGATCGAACAATCATCGGAGGCAAAAAGGAGCCAGGCGACACTTCTGCACGCATTTCACAACTCGGCGCGATGTTCACGCAGCTGTGATGGACTAGCAAGGCCAGTGTACTCTTGTCTGTCTGCCTGTCTGCCTGTCTGCCTGGCGGGCTGTCTGTCCGTCCGTCCGTATGTCTGTCTGTCTCTGTCTCAGACTGTTTATGCCCGCATGTCTATGCATGCGCACAACTCATTCTATGTACTTGCATACGTAGATAGTTCTGCCACAAGTTTACAGTACAACATTAGCATCAAAGCAGCAGCCTGAGATGTGCATGTACATGCGTGCGTCCGCATCCCAGCATGCATGCCATTCTCGTCCAGGTGACTTGTCCGATGGCAACCACGCGCTGGCGGCTGCAGTAATAGTAGAGGACAACACCAAGCAGCGCCACAGCAGCAAGACTGGCCAGGACTGCGGTCCTGGAGTCATGAAGAGGCGAAGCAGCTGTCTCATACCACTTCAAGACACTGCTTGGACTGCCAAGGCATTTTGCATGGCTATGTTGGTGCTTGGAGTGTTCTACTCCATGGCATCATATGGTGCGGCATGCCCTGCAAGCTTCCGGTTCAGTGGTACGCACCGGCTTGCCACCAAGTCGCCAAGAAGAGCCCGGCTGATCCGCCATTGTGAGGGCTTGGACCTCAGAGGAAGCGGCACCCGCTTGCTCCACAAGTGGACTTCGCACTTAGTTCCCTCATTCCCCGTGTCGCGGGGGGCTAAATGAGGACGCGACAGCTTCGCTTTCATAGACATCCTCAGTTGCACTCTTCCGATGCACAAACGCAGCCAGCGCCCTCGTGGTAGCTCGAGGGCTGCTGAAATCAGCCTGACGCAAAACAAGGAACTACTACAAGTGCGCCAGGGCGAACTGCACGATGCCCTCGAGGGATGTGCTGTCATGCGATATGCAAATCTATGCGAGCAGGCTGCCAGGCGCCGGATGCTCCAGTAAGCTTCACCTGGCCGCAAGCTCTCAGAGACTCCTTTTCAGGCAAACCGGTCCCATGCTGTCACCTTGCCCAGGGCTAGCCGCCAAGTTGCTGAATGCGCTTGGCTTTGATCGCACATACTCCGCGCAGGACATCTGAATTTCCGGACAACTTGAGTGGAAAGTCCCACCGGCATAATCACCTTAGTTTTGCATTGTGACTCCATGTGGAGTGCCCGAAGAAAAGCGTGCAGGCGCACAATTGCACGTGCTGTGGGCATGCATCCCACTACCAGGCAGGTCACCGCAGAATGTAACGTCGAACACCTCGGACAGGTTCAAAAAAAGCTCACAGCTGAAGCAAACCGGGGGCCGGTACAAAGCCAAAGAATGCAAACACGTGGTTGACAGCCAAAGGGCCATCCGCATGTTGTGGAAGTGCCCGGATGTGCACCTAGATCAGCGAAGCACGCTAAATTGAGCGAGATGTGATAGCCTCCAGTTCAGGGGACAGATTAGAGGACTGGGTGCGTGGCCATTTTTCGTTCAAAGTGAAGAACGAGTTGGGCATGCCGAAGGTATCCGGGTTGGGGTTGTCACCAATCGGGGGCTCCTGCTCTGAGACTGCTCTGACTGCAATTCCTCATCGGAGTGCTCAGTCCTCTCGCCCAACTAATTTCCATGGAAGTGCCGTGCAGGCTTGCTCCTGTCCGCTGGGAAAGAACCACGTGCGGAGGCGCTTGTTCACCTCGGATTTCCAATGGCACGGTGGCCTGATCGTGCTTCAGCAGAACCTTCCGACCATCACGCAAGCCGCTAGCGACCGGTACCTCTTTGGTTAAAAATCGTTTGTGCTCTCGCCCTCCGGGGCACCACGGGATCCCATTCCGCGATAAATGTGCCACCTGGCGTGATGAGTCTTGTTGGCAGATACTGTTGCGAGAACTTCGGTGCTCTGCCGGTGCACTGCTCATGCCGCAAGGCCTTGTTGGACGTTGAACTTCGGACCCGCGGATCCATCCTGAAGTTTCTGTCCACATCCCTGGTTGTCATATTCTGCATTTGCATGGACCTCGGATGACGACTACACCGCCGCAGTTAACATGACACGGATGTGACTCAAACGTTCTCGCAGCAATCTACTCGTTGAGTGCTCCAAACACGCTCTGCCCCATGATTGGGGGAAACCGAGCCCACCGAATCCTTCGGTAAGAGCACTGTCCGCGCTGGCTTGTTCGGAGGATGGGGAGATGTTTGATAAGCTTATAGCAAAGTTGCTGAAACAGTCTTCATGTGACGGAGAAGGAGTAAGCACTAAAGCCTGCGTACCAGCAATTCCCCCTTCCCATGCACACTACATGAAATCACTGCTGTCCAGTTCAGCTCATCGTTTGCAGATATGTCGTATAAGGATCTCGGCAGCCACCGTAACGCAGTATCTTCACGGAGCTGAGGACAAACCCCTCAGAAGACAGATTCCAAAAATGTACAGCCCGGGTATTCTGATATCATGCTAAGGTGCCCGGGCCCTAACGCTTGTCATGCGAATTGGGGAATGTTGTCGCGACCTGCGTTCTCTGAATCTGCGACAGTGCTAAGCACGAGCCACACGAGCATGCTTAGTGGCTTTTAGTTGTCGTCTATTCAGGAGCAGCCTCGCAAACCCGGTTCACACAGAACCCTCACATTTGCAGCCGCGCAGCCCAGCAGTTTTTCGCTTTGTTCCTTTGGGTGCCGACAGCCCAACCCTGACCTTGAAAATCGATGCCTTCATTCACGGCTCGCCTCAGGCAGACAAGGCAACGTGCACGGCACAAGGGTTTTGCGAACCCTGTGCATCCGGACATACAAGCCGCAAGAGGTCATGCATGTTGTATGAACATTCTTACCAAGGCAGTCACTGATCGCAGTTCTCACGCGTGTGCAGAGTTGTAGTTGCCTCAGATAGCTTGGAGTTCCCCAGACCAGCACATCGTAATTCTACAATTTCAACCAGCTTCGACTGCATACACGTACCCGTCCGTTCCGGGATGCAGCATTCTGGGTGTGGATAGCCTCCCATATGTCGAACTCGCCCCATCGAGGCCACACATGCTGCGCATCGTCCTTGAGAAGACAAAGGCGGCATGTCTGGAAATCCAAGACGCAGCTTCGGGAAGGACTTACATCCCGAGATGGAACTAAGAGCACCAGCCGCAGTCAAGAGCCTAAGAGCCTAAGGCCAAGGACTGCCTAAGAACCCTGAAGCGGGATGATCCGGGCTCATGAGAATCCCGAGATGGAACTAAGAGCACCAGCCGCAGTCAAGAGCCTAAGAGCCTAAGGCCAAGGACTGCCTAAGAACCCTGAAGCGGGATGATCCGGGCTCATGAGAATACAAACCTGATCATTCTGTATCGAAGTGGCTCCGAACATCCAGAACGCCGGCCATGCCCCACAAGCGGTCGGCACATGATCCATCTGCAACACGAAGAGGCCACCATTGTATCCTGTTTGCAACGGGGAAGGCCAAGCCAGGACAAGGACAAGCCTCCTCCCCTCCAGGCTCCCCGAGCTCCCCTCCACTCCATGTCGGGGCGCTGGTCTTCGACTCGATTCTCAAAGCCTTTCGGCCCTCGCCCTCTGGCACCACAGTCGTGTTATCGCTGCGAATGACGACTTTCGACTCGGATCGGCAAGAACAAACACATGCACCCCTCCCAAGACTTGCTGGAGCAATCCGCGCAGGGTTCTCAATATGCAGGCTTCCTACAACTGCTTGCAGCCCAGCTATGGCGTCCCTGACGCGTGATTCTTACCTCCAAGTCGCATCGGATATGGATAAGAGTTTCTCGTTCCAGGCTGCTGCTTCGTCGAGAAACTTAACCTCGAACATGGAGGTCTCAAACAACGGCACCCATTCACATGCAAAGCTAGCACTGGCTAGCAGTAGCTCTGTTGGACCAAGACTCTGTGCCGTGGGTCGGATCTGCACCTGTGTAGAAGTTGAACTTTCCAAAGAAGTCCTGCCCCATGTACGACTCCTTTATCTGGTACCTGGAACGTCGGCAGCCTTGTTTTTCTAGGTGCAGATGCAAACTTCTCTGGGGCCCTGGCTCGTTCACCAAACCATGGACAGGTCGCCAGACGGCGAGCACCACGGCGACTGCAGCAGGGCAGGACACTTGTGGGAAGCATTGAGAAATCTGGGGGCTGCGACTCGAATGGCTTAGTTTGAAGCAGAGAGAATGACAGTGGTCCAAGGAGAAATCGGTCCCATCGGTCTACATCCTGAATCCTGACAGATAGTGCATTTTGCAGCTAGGCGCCTGCCGCGGTCGTTCTTGGAGCGGCATGCATCCTTCTTTTGCACTTAATTTGGTCTTTGCCAAATTCTGAGCCAAACCCTAGGCTCCAGAGTGCAACCTGCGTACCAGTGGAATCTCGTGCTGAAGTGAGAAGACACGAAAGATCTATTGCTCTGGGCTCTCCATGATTTGCATCGAGTTGCAGATCATGACCGCCACGAAGATTGGAGGAATGCTTTGAAGTCAACCCCATACGAACTTATCCATATCCGCAGTCATGACAATGCCTCAGGATTCGCTTGGATGAACATGTTCGTCATCGGCTCGCCACCACAACCCCTTTCAAGCTGTTGTCCGTGCGACCGAGCACGCCGAAACATGTCGCAGCAGGGCTTGCAAGATACCCTTGCCACACCTTTGCCAGCAAGAAATTGCGACGAGCATGTGGTCAATGAGATACACCGTCCGCACTCGGTTCGAGGATGTCAGTACGAGAACATCTAACTAATGGCTCACCAGCAGCGCCAAATACTTGTCACAAAAGTATGTACTGTTACTGATTTCCGGCCCCCAGTGATCACCACACCCGTCCGATGCGTGGTTGCGGCTAAGCCAACCATCGAGTGAAACTGCCTCGCAGTCATCTAGTGCTATTAAAATGTAGTGCCAAGCTCTTTCAGAGGGCTGTCAGCGGAATACGAACATTCCTCTCAAAAAGCGGTGTCGTAGCACCGGAACCTGGGATCTCTCTGGTAACCAAGTTCCGGCTATGCGTTTGAGCTGCAAGGCCGGGAGAGAGATAATGCAAAGAACCTTTGGGAACACCGTTCCCACCCCTGTCTCGGACGATGCCCCGCTGGGATTTCAGGATTCACTTGAGCAATATCACCTTGCAGCAAGCTATCGCGCGTGCCAGGTGCACGCGAATCTTTTGATTAGGACATGCATAGGAATTCTCCATATTCGAGCGGCACCACTGGAGGATTCCCGGCGTGCAGCTGAGTGGAACGGCGGCTCTGGGACTACTGCCTGCGTTCCGGATGAAGGTGCACCCCCCAAGGCCCTTCATTGGCCAACATTCGGAGTGTCGCTCGACTGGCGCTGCGGCGCTGCGCGTGATCAGACCAGAATCTGTCCTCTGCCCTCATGTGGCCCTCCTCGGCCTGGGTGTCGACAAAATTTACAAACTCGAGATGTCTCGAGACCATTCCGCAGAGAAGGAGGAGATCAGCAAGCGTTACACTCTCACAACTCTCAGGAAGCATTGAGGACGAAGGTTCCCCTGTCCCATCCCCATACAGCCTGCAACCCTCAAGCAGTAATGCAAACCTGGGCAAGTTTGTGTGCCGGCAACGCTACACGGTCAATGAGGGAAGCGTGCACTCCCTTGTCTCACTCAACCCTTTGTGGTAGTCACTAGTAATTGCTTGTCTTAACTCCACGGTTCAGGCACAAGGACAGTCGTAAGGGAACCGGGAGCATCTAAGAGCATCCAGCTAAGTCTAGCTCTGAGACCTAGGTCGACCCAGCCGAGACGCGGTACAGCCTGCAAGTAGTGCATTGTCGGAGGCAGCGATGAGCCCGAGTTAAAGGCCTGCAAATTGCTGCAGAGACAAAACAAAATCACGAAATGCAGATGCAACCGGAACTGTGGCCGATTGCTCCACTTTGCGAGATTTGTCTGCCCTGCCTGCCCGGGATAAGACCCTCGCGAGTGAATCGATCCCTGACCAGGGACACTCAGAAGGCACTGAACACGAATGTCATCCCAAACTTTTCCGCGCTCCATGAAATACTGCGTGGCTATCCAAAAAACATTCAAGCCTTCAAAGCAAGACCGTCTACTTCAAGGGACTCTTATTCGCACGACTTCGAGGCTCACCAATCACGACTTGTTTCGCTGATAACATCTCTGCAGATCCTAACGAGGTACAGCGAGCCTCAAGCCATGTACAAGCGGCTAGGACCGACTACTCGGGGCAACGAGAGGCACTGAAGAGAGAGAGAGAGAGAAAAAAAAAAAAAA